GCTGTACGAAACAACGCGGCTACAGCAACGTGAGCACACGATTGTTGACGGACCGTGCGACGCGTTGGTCCCATGGTGGTCACTCGGCGTGTTACGCTAACTTATTTCGCTCGGCGGTCAAATGCGCTCACAGTCTTTTATACAAATCCAAATGATTAAGGGTATTTATAACCTGAAAATTTCAAAAATGGACACTAGTTTCTTGTATATACGACAGAAATGCTCCAAAAGTGCTTGTAGAAGAACCAACCTCCTTTTTACGGCCGTATTTCGAAGAAAAATCGGGCGAAGTGCGCCAAAACTTCGACGAAGTGCTGACGGAAGTTGTCAGCTTGCCGTGTGTGAAAAACGAAGCGATTTGAGAATGGTGCTGTGTGGAAGAACCGGTTCAAACCGGATAGTTCCGGTTTGGAGACGCGAAACCAAACTTTTGTACACAAAACTGTACGTGCGCAGATGATGTGCGCAGTAGACCGTTGCGGTCCCTACTACTGGTGATGAACCCCCCGACTACAGTGTAATTCAAAAGTTTACTACAATTAAAAAAGGAACAGAACTGAAGACTTTTTACAAGTTACCTACATGTATATCTTGCATGTACATTAGTGTGGGTGTTACCACAAATAAGACAAAATGTGGACTCGACTGAGTGTGCTGCAGAGTGTACAGTAATTTAAACTCTGTGCGGCTACAACCATGACAAAAAATACAATACAACTTCAAGTACAAAATGGTTTACGATAAGATATCCACTGCCATGACTGCCTTTCCGGAAACTGTTTGATTAATATAAATTTCTCACCTTTACATGAGGCCATTTCTAAAACGGTTAAAAAAATTTCCTTGCAAAATCACACTCAGATTGCCGCTGAAAAAAGATCTGGGACACAAGGGAGAAAGCTAAGATACACACACACGTTTGGCATGTATGACATGTGATCACTTTATGCAATCACATGCATGATCTTCAATGGACGTCTGGGGTTCATACAGGATGTTCCGGAGCCAGACGGTAAATTGGGCTCCATTTCCCACATATCATGCACCGTGTGGATAGGCCCTATTGTATACGGTGGCCCTGGAGGGACATCAAATATTGCAAATATATTTACACATTTGCGGAAAATTTGCGATGTCACACATTTTGTGGCAAATATTTGCAAAGATTTTTGCGATGTTTGATGTTCCCTCAGGGCCACCATGATCGTGCTGCAGTCACTGATCTCCAGAGATCAGTGCGTGCTGTCTTCTCGAAAGCTGCTCCGCCATTAATTTATGTTGATGCATTATGCATAATTAATTAACTGGTCACTATGCACTCATTGCACGCCTGCATTTATTCATAATTCGCATACGGGTACATAGTGCGCTATAATTTATAGCGCGAAACAAAGAAAAACTATAAGCTTCCCCGGACGGTTCCACCATGGTTGGACCAAGCCACGCTTGTCACATGATGCCATCGGCTAAACCACGTTTAAATTGCATTAATTGTCCCATGCTTCATGTCTTCATTGTACGCTGCGCTGTGACGAATGACGAACGCCATGACGAACACCTTGACTAAAGCCATAGGGTAACCACGAGAGACTGAGCTAGGTAGGGATTGCTAGGGGTATTCACGGGTTGTGCTTAGCCCAAGTCGCCAGGTGTAGAGGGTTTCTGGAACACATTTAGAAGGGAGCTATGAGCGCTCTGGGAGGTGGGCGCTTGGGTTGTGGGCTGGGACTGGAGCTGGGGATGTGGGCTGCGACTGGGGATATGGGCTGGGGATGTGGGCTGGGGTCGGTAGAGAAGGAAATACAGCGTGTATTTCAGAACCATTCTATTCCCCTACTACTGTTTTCAACAGTTACAATCATTTGTTATTGTTTTTAGTTATAGTAAATTGTTGTAGAATAATGATGTGACCCTGCTTTTTAGGAGTCAAAAAATAGGAAAGGGCGCTCCGGCTAAGATTTCTTGATGTCGTTTTATTTCTGGAAAACGGGAACTGTGTAGAGGAAATAAAAACAAGTCTTTCCTCGTCTCTGGTCAGCATTCGAATAACGCTGACAACGTTGAACGTGCTCCTAAAAGGTTGCTGAGAATACGATGATATCATCAAGATCATCAAGCAGCATTGTTGAGTAGTTCTGATCATCAAAGCATATTTGCTGTAGCTGTCGGAAGGTCACAGGAACATTGTGAAGACCGAATGGCATACGGTTACATTCATAGAATCCCATTAGGGTTGTAAATACTGTCTTGGGTTTATCATTTTCGTCAACCTCTACTTACCAGTAACCAGATTTAAAATCTAATGTAGAGAAGGGAGTGGCTTTCCCAACGGCATCTAATGCATCCTCAATTTGCGGGAGTGGGAACACATTACGGACTGTTTTGCTATTCAGTTGTCCATAATTAATGCAAATCTGCAAAGAGTCATCTTTTTGTGTATTATCACGATGGGAGATGCATAAGATCTGCAACTACGCCTGATAGCTCCTGACTCCTCCCTTATCAGCAAATGTTCTCGTACTGCTTAGTACTGAGAGGGCGCAATCCTTTGATGTGGAAGACGAAAAGGCTGATCGTCAACCAATAGGATGGTGTGCTTGATTGCAGTGGTGCGGCCAAAACCCAAGAATTTTTACAGATCACACTGAAGTTCTTTGGAAGGAGATATTCAAGCTACTACTTCTGAGTTTCATCTTGAAGGAGAGCACTCGACAAATCGAGAGATGGAATTGTGGTAAAGACCTCTGCCGGATGTTCGCCGCCTTGCTGATCGGGACATTACCACTTGTTTGGTTTTAATGTTTGACAGCTTCTGGACCTGATGTTGATTTGACAGTGTCTGGCTACTTGTCTGACACCAGTGAGTGAGATGTGTCCACTCTCTCATTAACTCGAAGGACTGAAGGGTAAATGCCAGATGGGTATTATGATTGGTCTGGCTGATAAATTACAGAATTGGACCGGGACTCGACGGTCAGGGCCAACTTCTGCCACAATACTTCCGACTTTCACACATGACATATTCTGGGGAAAGCCTTCAACCACTGCTGTAGAGGTATTTCTGAAAGACCACGTCATCGTCTTTCCCGGTAGGTGTTACACGTGAAACCTACCAATGTACTTTGTGTTGCCAATTCTTCCTTGTGCATCACCTAGTTCAGATACTTTAGTGTTAATGAATGCGGTGTACCATGCCTTGTTCTGTGCTTGGAGGAACTGTATGAATTCAGGACCTTTGGTCAAGTTCTGGTCTTGTCTGGAAGCTCGGATGACATTAGTTCCGATGAGCAGTGGTACACGCTGCCGATAGAAGTCGGTAGTAGTCTGACGGGGACAACAAAAGCTGGGATCTCCTCGTAGACAACGTCTAGGATCGTCAGAGTGATTGGAATAACTCCAAGGTGGGGTACCTTCTGTCCATTTGCACCTTTGATGGAGATATCAACAGGGGTAAGCTGGATTTCACAGAGTATGGGGTGTTCTTTCCACAGGCTTCCGTAATGGAAGTGATTTGGAAGCCTGAGTAAATGAGAACTATGTAGAGTATACCATTGACTTCGACTGAATCTTCGTTGTTGGGACCAATGAGATTCTGATACTCTGGTTAAATAGTGCTTGGTTCTAGAGATGGAAGTAAGATCTATAGGGCTTTGGTGGTTGCTGGTGGTGTCCGCAGCGGTGACAGACGTAGACACGATCAGTTTGGTCGTCTGCTCTTGGGCGCTGACGAGGTTGGTTTCACTTTGTCGATATCTGCTAGATTTTCTTTGCAAATTGACGTTCAGAAGCAAATCTTGCAGAGCCTCATTACTCACTTGTTGGGATTTCTCAGCAGGTGGGCTTTGTGTTGACACTGCTTTGAGACACCTTTGTTGTGAAGGACAGGATTGTGATCAGGCTAGTTGTGACTGCGACTTTTGGTCAAATTTGAAGACAGACGCCACTCTTAACTCGCTCTCTATATATCTGTTGTAACTCCATCTGCACTTCTCGAAAAGTCATGTTCCTGGGCTTCTTGGGTGCAAGTTGCTGACTCACTTTCTCATCTCCAACTCCCCTCATGAACTACTGAGTCAGCATCCTGTAGCAGGTTGGAAGAGGTCATCCCCGGTTGATTCGTTCCTCTGCGGTGCACAGGGTAGCTTCAATTTCAACCACAAAGATTGTGGGGAGACTCGTTTGGCAGTCTGAACTGTCCATACAAATCGGCCAATAGATCACCAGGAAGAGAGACTTTACCAAACTTTGCTTGTAACTCGGTCTCTGTTGTTCAGGTGAGAGATTCAACACCAGCTTCTTGGCGGCTCCACCAAGATACCCGACGATAGTTGAAAACTGCATGTAAGAGGGCATGGATATTGTCTCGACCAGGTACTTGGTGTCTCTGAGCCCGTCTTTGATGTAGATTGCTGAGCTTTCACGGCCAGTGAACACTACAAGTAGACACAATGGGGCGGCCTGGATTTCCAGATCTGTGAATTTTAAGTAGCAAGTAGAAGACTGCCTTGCGTGGGATGGGAACGACCAGTTTGGTTGCGTTAGGAGGGAGGTCATCAGAGTCAATGAAACCTTGGACAGTGCTAGCAACAATATCTTGATGCTCTTGTGTAAGGTCGCGGTCAATCTTATCGACAGCGACATACTACAAGTCCTTACGCCAGACCACCGTAGCGCAACCCTTGTCCGCCCTCTTGATGACGACGGTATCATCGTTCTTAAGAGACCTCGGTGCTTCGCGTTCAGCCGATGAAATGTTGATGCACTTGGGGCTTGGTTAAAATTTAAGGCGTTTGATTTCCGCGTGGCAGTTTCAAAAACGCGATCGAGGGTTTTGTTGAGACTGGATGCCGGAAACCAGGTGGACTTGGTGAGTGCAAGCTTAGCAATAAATCAGACAAGTCTTCATTCTGAGTAGAGGTACCCGAATTAGAACGAACTCACCTGGAATCCTTGTCGTGGAAGAAGGTTCGCAAACGCATATGGCGGGAGAGCTTCACGACGTCCCATCGGTTCGTCAGCGGGATGAAATTCAGTCCACGCTCGAGGACAGAACGTTGGCCATCAGTTAGGGGGAAATCTGGTGGGATGGTAACTACCAAACTCTCTTGGTTAGCGTTCTTCGTTGACATGGGCGTACAATGAGATTTGTCTGATTTGAGCTTGGGGTACTTAGATTTGAAGTTCGTCATTTAGATCGTGAATTATGCCCCTGGTGATGTAACCCGTACGGCCATCGGTGACATCATAAAGACGTCGTCGGTACTGATTAATGGTGTTGCTCGAGTTATCTATAGCTCGCGCATAATATGCACGGTACAATGCATGATCTTACGTGAGGTGGAGTGTAAAATGCGGTGAATAATATCATGATAAGTACTCTCAACCGAGCTGAGATCACAAGGCTGAAATTTTAACTCAGACGCATTGGGGATAATCTTGTGATAGAGGCAATACTTAATGAAACTTACGTGACTACAGAAGCGTGTCTTCGTAAATGTAGCCATGGCAAGTTCCAGCGAAGTCTCCATACAGCTGCAGGTGATGAAGTTGACAAGCTGTCTAACAATCGCCGGCGAAGGTGAAGCTTGGATATCAGATGGACCATATCCAATAGTGATTGACAAAATTCGCACCAGATATAATAGATCAGAGAAATATGAAAGGGCTGGTGATACTGTCGTGCAGGGTAGGCATCAGGAAAGCACCCATGAGCGCGGTGTTACGCTGCGGGAACCCGGTAGCCTGGTAGAAGAAGACTAGTGGAGTGGAACCGCCGTGGAGGCTGTTCATCTGGTTGTAACTCGGGAAGAGACGAGACTCTCCACTTCAGATCCCTCAGGTCAGCTACGAACTTCTAAGGTAGAGACTGAAAGTTTGGAAGACCGTCTGAAGGTAGCGCAGGTGGGGACCTCGTAGCGGTTCTCTCTTAAGATCTTGGTCTCTGCGGAGCCTACACC